TATATATAATTGTATAATAATTATCGCTTAAGTATTCGTTGAAATAATGTTCTAAAAAACTATTGGCACCTTTGATTTCAGCATCAACGAATTTTCGGTAACAACAGCTACCGTGGACTCACACTATGAATTCTTCTATTCATGTACCACTTGTAAAGTGGACAGTTCCAGCGGTAGCTCTTGTCGTCGCTCTCTTTTGGTACAAACGCCGTCGGATAGACAGAGATGAACTTCAATGGAATGACTCAGGGGGAACTGCAAAATCGAACTGTGTAGAAAAAGCGATTTCAAATAATACGCAGGAGGTTGACACTAACATTTATGATTCCGGCGTTCAGAAAGAGATCAATCAGGAATCCTCAATTGACTGCTGCTACATGCAAGAAGAAGAACAGACTTGCATCCCAAGAAAGGTCAGCGAGGATATTCCATTAAAAAATTCAGCGTCAGAATTTGCTTTTTGTAGTAGCAGCCAGAATATGTATAAAGATGTTGAAACAATATGCAGTACAGAAGCAAAGTTTGACAGTAGTAGTAAGTCGGATACAAGCTTGTTTGAAACGATCGCTACAATCGTATCCTCTAAGTTTAATAAGAACGATGACGAATCGAGAATATTTCAAAATGTTGCTAATGAGGAGCAGACTATGCATTGCGAGACAAGGTCGCTTGAACAAAACTATACGGACGAATATCATTATAAGGAGGATGAACAGCAATCTGAGGAACACACTATCAAAACTCAGGGACAAGAGGTTGACGAAAGGGACTCGGCCAATCACAGTCCGGTTTCCGTAGTTCTGGATGGTAGTGTCACGGACGAAGCTGGGAGCGAAGGAAGCAACACAGATAGCGGAAAAGGTGAATATCGATAATCATTAATGATGAAATATTCCATTTATTTATATTGGTAGAATAGTAGAGTATCGATTTTAAGAAAATATAGTTAATGAATTATTATTTCCTAGAGATCTTTGGGTGGGATCTAGATGACAGCAACTTCGTCCGGCTTGAATACAATCAATTTTTATGTCCTCATACAGGTGGAAGTATTAATGGATGCAGAAAAGACAACATTGCATCATCCACGTACGATTTTGCTATACCACAACATTTAGTGGGCAGATTGATTGGCCGTCATGGTAGCTTTTTACACAATATTCGTACAAAGGCAAACGTCGGCATATATGTCAATGATCACCCTTGCGATGGCGATCATAAGATTTGCTCGATACGAGGCAGTGTTGAGGGAATTAATGTCGCACTTAAAATGGTAAGGCAGAAGTTTCCAGAGAAAAGGTTCCCGCAAGTAACATTAGCGGAGATCTCAACAATATCCGAGGTGAATGAAGAAGTTACATACAATGTCTTTATACAACGACCTCTGTCCCTGGTTGATGGCGTTAATAATGACATTAATATCTGTCACATTGTCAAGCCAAATTGGCTCTTTGTTCGTCTTCCGACTCATCCGTCATTTCCCCTTTTACAAAATTTAGAAGATAGCATGCAGTATTGGTATAACACAGAATCGGTACCAGTTCCGGATGTATTGAACAGTAAGTGGATATAAATTTAATTGATACATAAAACAGAAACGGGACTATGAAATGTATTGTTTTGTAGAAGGCGATTACGTAGCTGTATATTGGATGGAGAATTGGGTCAGAGCATATATTGAATGGCCAGATCCATCAGGAGAGAGAAGCGTAGTGCGATTACTCGATTATGGCGGTTATTGGTCGGTTAGCAATTCGGAATGTAGACCATTGATATTAAATTATTTAAGCTTGCCCTTCCAAGCGATTGAAGTCTTTTTAGCAAATATTCAGCCAAAAAATGGTAAATTATATGTTGATGTATAATGTATATATTTTCCAGATTATGGTTTTATATCTCTGTCCAAAATTATTTCGAATACATTATGTACTATTATATTACTTATACAGGTAAATGGTCGTCAGAAGCTTACAATGTGGTACAAAATTGTTCTTCAAAGGGAGTTGCACAAGCGCAGATTGAAGGTCGTATTCAAAGCAATACTTATGCAAACATTTATTTTATCATACAAAATTACGGGGTAAATAGTTACTGTTTCAACTCTGAAAATCTCTTTGCAGACGTTTTTGATGTACAAATTAATCGAATTGATTGAATTTTTTTATAGGTAATTTCCCTTACTGAGGAATTGATAACGAACGGATACGCTGAAAGAGTAGTGTGGGAGGACATGCAGCCAGAAACACTTGAATCCATATGTACATAAGAGTTGTAAAAAAAACTCTAAAATTTTCAGATTTCCTACCGTATTATCATATATAATCCACAGTTCTTAGTCAGTATGGACTAGAGTTTAGTACAATCGCGTCAAAATTTATTTTGCTTTTTGACTTCGTTCTATACTTGTATTTCTTAATTCTTTATTGAAGTCTGTGAATATTCTGACATATATTTCCTAGTGATTGATTATATACATAGAGAAATTATTAATGCAGTATATATACATATATATATCATTCTAATAATGAATAAGGCTACATTTCGCTGTACAGAAAACATACAAATATTTTTGTCGTGTTTAAGTAGCATTTAGTACTCCCTTAACATTGCTCAGAAAAAATGCATTTTGTAAGCACAAAACTCGTTGTTTCAAACGAGTTCTGACAAGTACAAAAGATTTAGTCCGATAACGTAAGAACCTTTTTTACCGTAAGTCTTTAAATTGTATTTCTCACTCGTGATATCTTCTCTCTTTTATCTGGAAAACTGAACTTTTCATCGGTAAAGTTATTTGCAGAACAAATCTTTCAGATAATTTCATATAAACATTCAGAAAACTGCTTTTGTTATCTAAGCGCCTTAAGACTGTCTTAAAGAAGATGCAACTGTGCTTAACTCTTCTATATCCTTGTATTTTTTGTATATATTGTAAAATAATTTTCCGATTGTAGAATATTTACATTTAGGAAGAGAGAAATTATAAAGATTTGCTATGATGTAAAGTAGAATAAATAACAATTTTGCATTTTACAAAGTAGCGTCACATCTAAACTAAAATTGTATTGAATAACTCAGACGAATTAGGAAATTCGTTTCTACGTGACTCATATTCATTTCTGATTAGGGACGATTCGAGAATCCATTGAAATAACTTAAACTTTTCTTTTCACGTTAATGTTAGATCATCGTAGATTAAACTTGTTACTGTAAAAGTATTTGTTAAATGTCATATTTTATTGGATGTCCCATGTTATGGGACATCCAATCAAGTCTAATCAAGTTATTTAAAGGTTGCTAATTCATGTAGAGATTTATCTTTTAAACATTATTTTTCAGTAACTTGTATTTTGCGCAACTTCACTATCGTAGCATAAAATTATTTTGATTTTATACTTGCTATTTTCTTAAGATGATTTTTGGCATTTCAAAAAGACTAAACTTTTGGATTAATCCAGACGTACGCATGTAATACTGTATATATCTGTTTACTTGGATATCGATCATTTTTGCGCAATATGTTAACACTAATCTTTTTCAAAGCAGTAGAAACTAGTTAATTGAATAAGAGTCTATAATGATTTGTAACTCGTAGATTGCGCTTAACTGTAACATTTGGCAGTTACAAAATGTTAATCTTTAATATTGTTGATTGAACGTAATATAGAAATATTTTTCTAGGAATATATACATATATATATATATACATACATGTAAGATTACGATCATTAAATCCTCACAGTATACATGCTTTCTCGCGCGCTGCGATTAACTCGATTTATTATTATAATTTATTAGCGACAATATGGTGCAACGAACGTCGTTATGTAATAATCAGTCGTAATTCATTTGTGTATATAAAATACGTAGCTGACTGCAATTTTTGACTATTCAAATTTTGTACAACACTTCATTTAGCATTGTATTAATCATTATATAAGTAAATTTAATAACTTTTGTATATTCATTAGTATAATCTTTGGAGTTATTACACTTGCATCAATTTTTACCGCAAGTTTTTCTTACACATCTTTTATACGTCTTCTGTAAAATTATAGAATAATAAGAACTTCTTTTTCTACAGCAAAAGAGAACAGTGTTGTGCTAAGATTTAAACCATTGTTTGTATTGTAAAACAGAAATAAAGATGTTTGTAAATAGCCAAATTTGATTATATCAAAATTTTTCCTCAATTTTGCTAATTTATGAAATAAATATTAAAAAAAAAAATATATATATCTTGATCGAGCATATTCTGAATATCGTGTTCATGTTAATTAAGATACGCAAAGAGTTATATTTTCATTAATTTGTATTTTTAAGTTTTATCCTTGTTTATCATTAAAAAAAATTTGTACTGTTGAACGCAATTTTAGTCTAGGATAAAAAACGCACGACGCATTCAATTCGAGAGACGAAAGACGTTAATGACTCATTTATAATCAGAAATCTCGAGAGAAATTTGATGTATATATTTACATAATGTTATAATGTTGCAAATAATGTTACAAATTATATATTTTTTTTATATGTGTATGTAAGTATGTAAAAGAAATGAAAGATTTCTATAGATCTTTATATGTACAGAAGTATGTTTTCGCACTTTTTGTATTCGAAATGAAACAAGTATATAATTAATTAATTATTAGTATCTCTCAGATTAAGGGCCTGAGCACAATAGAGGAACAAGAATTAGATATTAAGATTTCAACCTATCAGAAACCGTGTATTCCGATGTAATCAGTTTCTGATAGGTTGAAATCTTAATATCTAATTCTTGTTCCTCTATTGTGCGCAGGCCCTAATTGTGTTTAAATATCCGAACATTTCGGCGCACAGTCACATTTGAGATAAAATAAATTCATCAATCAAGAATATTATATTCCCAGCAAACGAGAATGGATTGAAATGAATTAAAATAGATTCAAATTTTCAGAAATAGGGATTCATAAATGTTAAAATGAATCCTTTTCAATCCTGAATGCATTTTTATTCATTTATAGGAATTGCATAGAGCATATCTCTATGCCTTTTAATCTAAAAATAATATTATAGTATTTTGTGTGCATTATGAATGTTGCTCAATTCAAAACTATGAATAGGAAATGCAGTTTTTCAATCCAGTTGAGTCTAAAAATAATATCAGCCATTTCTGTGCATCGTGAATATTGCTCAATTGAAAATTCTGAACAGGAAAGGCAGGTTTTTAATCTAATTGAATAAAAAAAAGTTTTTCTTTTGAAATGGACCATAAATGTGCTATTTAAATATTCAAAATTATATTATAAATAGGAAATTTTTCTCTCTGATCCAAGTTCGAAAAAATTGTAACGTAAAAATAATTGAGCTATGTTCTTATGTTTCTCTTTGATTAGAAGTAAAATAAATGATCGATGTGAACGCAAATCAAGTCGAATACAGTCTGAATATTACGCTGATCACGGCGCGCGACATCGGCCAAGCGAGATTAGATTATCCGACACTTATCCAATGTTGTCTCATAGTAATGTAAATTGTTTATATTTTATTATATCTGTTAAATAACGATATTTTTATGATATCTATATAATTTCGTGCACTGGTTTAGCTGATTGTAATTGAAGTAGAGAATGAATATAATAACACATTTATTAATTGAAAACGTGGTGTAGCGGGTAACGTAGATTGTAGAAGATTCATAATTCAGAAGTCCCAGTAGGTTCGAATTTTACTAAGGTGCGTTTTTTAATATCAATTTGAAGTAGTTAATTTCAGGTATAATTATTATAAATATCTTAGAAATAAAATTTGTAATCCTTAAATATGAATGTATTTTTTTTTTAGAATATTAAACTAGTGTCAGCTCAGATTCAATCCATTTCAATCCATTCAATCCATTTTCACGGATTCAAAGTACGCATTAAAAAAATTTTAATCCATTTTAAGGGGATGCTGGAGTGATGGTCGAAGTTAATCAAGGTCGATAGTACAGACTTTTTTAAATTCCAAATTCGACAATAGTGACATCTTTCATTCATTTCTTATACTTATTATATATCGTTGTGTCTCGCTCAAACGCATTCATCTATCCTTATCGGACATATTGCAACGCCATCTCTTAAATTCCATATATGCGGTGAGCTCCGGCAAATGCTGCGGTGACCAATCAGGAGCCAGGCGCAGGTACGACCCGTACTTGCGCCTGACTCCTGATTGGTCACCGCAGCATTTGCCGGAGCTCACCGCATACATGGGCTGGGTTCGGGGAGACGCTATTAGCGCTATTTGTGTCATTCTATCTTCATCGTCCATTAAATGTGAAACAAGGATAGTATGACACAAATAGCGTTGATAGCGTGCTCCTCGAACGCAGCCGGAGTCTTAGCTTTATAGCGTTTTCGGCCCGGTCAGGTTT